CCCCCCCCCCGGTTCCGCGTGCTAGGGGAAGAGCAGGAAGGAAAAGAAAGCCGCCCGTTAGACACTCTATCCTCCACAAACCAGAAAGGGCGTAAGAAAAACCCAACTCAAGTTACAGTTCTGTAGTTACTACCCACAAAGTAAGAGTCAAAAGCGGCAGCAAGACAGCCCATTTAGCAGCTACTTATAAACACGGCTGCAGAACCACGTTTGCTTATTAGAAAAATAGACCAGGAATGAAGAAACTGGACTTACCGGCCAAGCAAACTGAAAAGGTATAACAATCCTCCCCATGTCGTGGTTTTTACCCTGATGAAAATTTCGGCTGTTCAGATAAAAAGTATTTCCACCAAGAACAGGAGTAGATCCGGAGCCGTAACTGCATGTCCCAATAGGCGTGATTTTAGCCTGATATTCCTTCAAACAGACTTTCACGTAAGTATCACACTCATCCCGAGTACAGTCCACGTTCGTTGGGGGTTTCATGCCATCACAACATTCCCCATTCAACAATTCGCCGTTTACATTCTTTACCGAGTTAATCTGCAGCTCGAAATAGCCCGTGGACTGGGAGACCTAAAAATAAAGAAGCAAAAAGGGAGAACCTCATTAACTGTAGTGTCTGGGGGGAAAAAGTGCATGGAGATTTACAAGCGGCCACTCCAGAGTTCCCAACGACAAAGTAGCCTTCTGATAAAACTTAAAACTATAGGCACTATTAAAAGATAGGAAACAGTGCCGCAATTCCGGCTTATCGCAGTAATAGGAAGGCCGATTGCAAGCCGCGCAAAAGACCTGCAGAATGCTCCATTGTCAGCTAAAATAGGCACTTCGAAATTATTTGATGCCAGCCGAATAGGCGCTCCCCATTTTTAAAAGTAATTGGAAGAGATGCAAACCGTGTTACTGCTTTTTAAATCAATGCGTTCGGAAAATGGATTAAAAACAACGCCGAGGGTGCTACGCGCAAACGTGCAATGCAAGTTTGCCTCCGCGTCCTTCCAAAGCAAACACACAATTGGAAGCATCGACTAGTTAAGGGAGCTTGCAAATAGCCATCAGTAAAGCCGTAGCTTTCCAATCTACCCCGAAGCAAAATCGGGTTGTTGTTGTTTTTGTAGTTTCACAAAACAGAATGTATCTTTTTCTTTCAAAAGGAGGGAGCGACAAGGTACTCAAATCTCATCACCGGTTTAAGTGGAAAGGTAAAACAAACTGTACAAAAGTCGTCCCGATCAATTTCCGCCCAAAGCTAACCCTCCCCGCGCTCTTCCTTTGAAACAACTATCACCACCACAAGCCAGTCCTGCCGAAACGCAGGCAGTTCTTTTACCTGCGTCCATAAAGTTAGGAGCAGCCACAGCCTGAGCGCCGCAGCAAAAAGAGCCCAGTGCCGCCCGCCACAATCCAGCATGCCTGCTGCTCCGAGCTGAACGCCTTTGGATCAGGGAAAACAGGCGAGGACGCGACAAGCCATCGGCCAGCCGCTGCTCGGCGCATCGGCGGCAGGAAGGGCAGGAAGGCTTTCGCCGGGTGCAAGGTGAAAGCTCTCCCGAGCCTTAATCACCCCTCCCCCGATGCTTAGCCTAACAGCCTGGGACCGGTGGAGGCGCAGCCAGCGCTCGCCAGCCAGGATCCACCTAGATTACAGCACTCCGCAACAGAAAAGGGAACGGTCTGCCAGCAGCGGCGGCGGCAGCCGTCCCTCGCAACTCTGCTCGCTCCTCTGTGCGCCTCTGCTGTGCGAACACCCAACAAGTAGGTGCCAGAGTGACAGCTTCATCGCCCATTAGTCAGCAGCGCCTCTGCCTTCATATTAATGAGGGGGAAGGGCCCAGAGCAGCAGCGGACGGGTGTGGCCACGCGACTCCTTAAAGGGCGGGGGGAAAGCGAAATAAAAAACGCTGGAGCGTGCGCAGCCGTCGGAGGTTTTTCCAACCTGTCATTTATCTCCCGCCCGGCAAGGGCCCTGCGGCGGGCAGTTGCGCAAGCGGGCTGTTGCGCGTGGGCAAGGCCCTGCCCAGTACGTGCGCGGCGCTGTGGGGGTAGGAAGGGACGTGTGCCTTCTTGCCCCGTAACGTGTGCTAGACTTCGCTTCGCTGCCAGTAAAGGAGTGGTATCTCTTGTGCTCAGCAAGCGTGGTATGCCTTTGGATGTCTGTTTACAGTTATACCTGTCCTTGCGCGTTTATTCCAAGATAAATTAATTGCTCTGAATTAATCTAATTTTGAGTGCTTTTTCGATTTCCCCATCCAGGAAACTATGCCCCATTCTTCGATCCTACAGTATCCAAAGGAATCGAGAAAAATATGCTTAAGTCAGTTTACTGCTAGCGTTGGAACTGAAACAAAGGCCCGTAAAAGAAGTTTTGTGATGCTTGTTTACCGATAAATGTTCTATAGATAAGGAGAATACATGTTTATTTTCAGTCTTTGTCCTGGGTTAGTTATGGGGGCAGGGACCAAAATAATGGAAATCAAAGACAGTACTCCTAAATTACAAGTTTCAATCAATGCCCTGTTAGCTGGGAGGAAATCTGAGGATTTTAACCCTTCACCTATAGGCATCAGATTGGGTGAGTTAAATCTGTTTTATCATCCTGGAGGAATAATGAATAAATGCCAATGAGAGACTGTTTTTGCACAACACGCTAGGCTATGATTTATGGAAGCCAGGCTAAAATAAAATTGTAAACCACACTGGTTGAATTTGTACAACACAACCACAAACTAACAAATATCATTTTAGCCTAGCACATTTTAGCAGGTTGCCAAACCTGCAAATTTTGGTTCTTATCATGTGACCCATCCAGTCCAACTATTTAATGAAGATTATTCTTGTTCTAGCCTTGGTTCTTGTATAGTTCAATATTGGTTCAAAAATTATGCCAAGCCATAAATAGTTTGCTTTGTTTTAGTATAATGTCATTCTACATCCAACAGCTGCAATTTATAATGAGTTCTTGGTTAATAGTTAAAGATTAGTGGTTATAATAGCACAGCATGTGTGAATGTGGCCTATTGTGGTTTAGTGAACAAACTAAACTGGGTTGATTTCTTAAGCCACAATTAGGGTTTACACATGCTAAGTTATAATGCATGGGTTAATAGACCATAATGATTGGATTTATACAACAATTATATTAAATCTTAATGTACTTTGTGTTTGACATTTGTGTGAATCATATTTGTGGACCATGGTTTATGGCTTAGTGTATTGTTGAGCATATTTATATAAGAAAATGTATATGCCCCCTCCCCAACTCACTCTCAGTGACTCCAGGCAGCTTACAAAGATAAAAACCCAATATAAAATCCCCCACACCCCAGCAACAACAATCAGTCAAATAAGCTCCATCTGAATCTGGGTTTCCCAGGCCCATTGACAAAACCAGGTTTTCAGGGCCTTGCAAAAGAATGTCAAAGTGGAGTCAATCTTATATCCGTGGGGATGATGTTCCATAGGGAGGAAGCCATCACAGAGAAAGCTCTTCTTGGTCATGCTAGATGTATCTCCTTAGGAGAGGGAACCTGTGGCATTCCCTGCCTCCCCCTCTTATTGATCAGGTAAATGTGACTGGGAAAGGCAGTGCTTCAAATAACCTTACAGCCATATAGGGCTTTAAAGGTAATAATCAGCACCTTGAATTGGACATGGCAAATGGGCAGCTCACATGTGAGCTTCAAGTCCTGCTGTATTTTAAACCAACTGAAGCTTCTGGATACTTTTCAAGGGCAGGCTCATGTAGGACCCTTTGAATTTGTGGCTAATTGAGCAATAAAAACCAGCTAATGATTCAGTTACTATTGGCAGATAGAGGTGAAATGGAATTCTATTTACTGAATGCACTCTATAAAAGCCTTGTCCAAGTGGCACCTTCCAGTTGCTTTTGGACTTCAGTTCCAGTATCCCAATCTCACCCTATTTGGGAGGCACCAGAATGAGACAATTTAACAAGTAAAATCAAAAGCAAGTCCCAGTATGGCCATTTCCTTGATGGGGCTTAAAGTTTCTTCATTGCATTACACAGCTATCGCTGAAGTAATACATATGCCTGTTCTCATTACTACAAATTATTTTAATTATTTAAAATGGTTGGATGATTCTAGAACAAGGTGTCAAACTCACAACATCATGTGACGTGTCATGACGTATCGAAACTTTTTTTCCATTGCCGGCAATGGGGTGAGCACGGTTTCACCATGATGCATCCGGTCTGTGGGCCGGCAGTTTGACGCCCCTGCTCTAGAAGATGTTATCAATTGCTATTGGGGAAATGACTGTTGTCTACAAGATACTGAGCCACAAACCATTTAATTGTAATTTAATCTAGGATGTTGTATAAACCTAGCCTATAACTTACCAAGATTTGTTAGTTGTTTATAAACTGATTTGTGTGAACCTGACTTCTGTAAAACTATGATTTAGCTTTATGAATCTAAACTAATAGTGTTTGGGCTGATACTTAAGGCATTTTTTCACATAAATGCTTAATATGTTTTTTTCAGTTTTGGTTTGGAGCAGTACATAAACTCAACCAATAAAACAGATGTTCCATGTTAAATTGATGTGAAAAATGATATCTGCCAAAAAAATAGCATATTATCTCATCTTAACAGAAATGTTCAGAGTGCCAGCCAACTAACAATGGTATCCTTCAAAATAACATTAGTTGTGTTAGCTGGGGGTTATGGGAATTTGTCCAATACAGCTGGAGGGCATCAGATTGGAAGAGGCTCTATAAACTATTAAATTCTCAGTCACCTTATTTCCTGTATTGCCTTCCCCATCTACTTCTCTATCATTTTTCTTAACTGTAATATATTAATAGTTAATAGTTTCTGTGACCATTGGGTGCTCAATTCTCTTGACATTGGAGGAAAGGCAGAGATAACATACATTTCTATAAATCTTAAGCCTTCCCAAACTATGTTGATAAATTCTTGATACTTTTTGTTTCAGCTTTTTGTTGTTGTATGAAAAAAATTTTATTGGAACAAGGCTGACTGGATTCCCAAATTGCACTAATTCATGCTTTGCTAGGTAAACCCCAATGTAGTTACCACAAACCAAGCACTTGCATTACCCCAATTTGGTCTAGTGCAGGCATGTCAAACTGCCAGCCCGCGGGCCGGATGTGTCATGCCGAAACCGTGCCTACCCCGTTGCCAGCAATGGGGAAAAAGTCGCGATACGTCGTGCAACATCATGTGACGTTGTGAGTTTGACATGCCTGGTCTAGTGGCTAGAAAGCAGTAGACTGAATTCTCATCCTGCCTTAACCTTAAAAGCTAGCTGGGTGACTTTGGGCCAGTTCCTCTCTCTCAGCCCATCTCAGAGGGAGGTTGTTGTGGGGAAAATAGAGAGAAGAAAGATTATTAAGTTCATTGCCTTATTTATCAAAATAATAATCATGCAATAAAAAATCTGAAATTAAAAAAGATTAAAAATGCAGCCCAAACTCCTTGTAGTTAAGGATTATCACATCATTACTGTAAATCACCTGTAGCAAACCATTCTTTTCCAGCTGTTCTGTGAGTGCTGAAGGTATCGGTTGATTGATGTCAGCTGCTTGGGCATCCACATAGTTATATGGTGTACTCAGCAGCTTGTAAATCTAAAAAAATCTCCCTTCATCATTAACCCTTTCATCCTCCGGCACTATTAGAGAAGCACGTTGGGAACATAACGAAGAAGTCAAAGAACTGTAATCGCCCTGCTGGGCTTGGAAGCATTTCATAAAGCAAGCCCTCTGCCCCCCTTTTCAGAAATCCAGCCTGATTCCTCAGCTGCCAACCGGCACACCACTCTTCTGCTATTCATGGTCAGCCTATAGCTGAGCTACAGTACCTCCTTCAGCTGACACAAGAGCAGCTGCTAAATGGGAGCCAGCTGGCCAGCTGCTCACCCCAGCTCAGCTGCTTCTGCTGCACTTCATCTGTCCCATTACCCCTTATGACTCCTGTCTTTTATCTTCAAACTGTGATGGGCCTACTTGCATAGTTGCTGATCCTCACTTTGGAGTCTAGGAACCTTCCTTATCAAAGTGGGTCGGAGAAAGGTAAGAGAAGAGCCAGGATCTGAGTTCACTAAGACATACTTTAACCATGGTTTTCTAATTAAGTAAAAGGCAAAAGAGGTATGTGAACTGAAGGGAAACCAGAGTACAAGACAAAGTAGTTGGGTTTACAGCAGTAAACAACAGTTTAGAATGGTTTAGAAATTGCAATGGCTGCATTCACACATTGCATGTAGTTTAGCTTGTAAACCAAATCAATGATTTTGTTTCTCTAACATAAGCTATGTTGTGATCAATATTATCTGCTCCTGTGACTAATTGGAGGCAATCAATATTTTGAAATGGTGTGTTTTTAGTAAATTTCTTTGCTGGTTAATTAACTACATTTTAACTACAATTGAGCAGAAAGTGTTTTTTAAAAGGCTACTATATTCCTTCAGTCACTGCAACTACCACGCAGCCAGGAGTTCATGTCTTCCAAACACTGTCTACCTACAACACTTATTCCTCGTCTTCTTTCAGACCCAACCTTATTTTTCAGCCTTCCCAAATAGCAAAGAATGTTGCAGAAATTCCTAAACATTCATATCATTTGTTCCTCCAAATACAATCTTATGCTCTCTAATAAAACCTTAGCTAAGAAGTACATTACTTGTCTATCCTATCATTGCATTTC